CCTTCACTTATTATCTTCACATGTCAAGCTTTTACAAACCTTGTCTAATACCTTGACTGCAATAGCTACTGTTCTTGTATCACTGAATGCATTAATTTGATTAGATAATACGTCGACGAATACTGTCAATCAGAGCCTTTAACAAAGACTGTAAACATAATGATAGTTGACATTATGGCTTAGTGTTTACAGATGTCCAACGAGGGCTCTGGTTGGCTGCATTCACTGGTGTACAATCCAATGAAATCACTGAATTTACAAACCTATATGATACAAGAAAAGAACCTAATGAAGTCAAGGTATAAGATGAAGTTTGTATGTAATACCTTGACATTGTGAAGAAGTCAACAAATACAATGGCCAATAAATACAAAGAGCAAAAAACAACATACAAAAAAAGTTAGAAACAAACATACTTAATTTTATACCATAAATAAAATTATTGAAATAAACCTTTCATATAAACTTATGCTGGCTAATCTCTTAAAGTTTTGTTGTAAATTCAGTTATAACTTCCCAACACAAGGCAGGTTATTGTCTTATTACAGGTACAATTTGAGTATCTCTGAGAACCAGCACTTCAAATGAGAAAGGAGAGGCCAAATATGCCGAAGCCTTGCTTTCAACTATTCTACAGAAAGTCTTTCTAAATCTAATCTTGAGAAAGGAAAAATTCATTGTCAGTCACTATCCTTTGGATATAAATTTTGGTTTTTGACACATGACTACAAATATAATTAACAAGAAGAAGAATAATGTGATTTTCTGCAAAGAATTTGTGTAAAAAACAAATAACATATAAGACTATGTGTTCAAGTCTACATAAATAAACACAATAAGACTATGTGTTCAAGTCTACATAAATAAACACAATAAGACTATGTGTTCAAGTCTATATAAATAAACACAGTAAGACTATGTGTTGAAGTCTACATAAATAAACAGAGTAAGACTATGTGTTCAAGTCTATATAAATAAACACAGTAAGACTATGTGTTGAAGTCTACATAAATAAACACAGTAAGACTATGTGTTCAAGTCTACATAAATAAACACAATAAGACTATGTGTTCAAGTCTACATAAATAAAAACACAATAAGACTATGTGTTCAAGTCTACATAAATAAACACAATAAGACTATGTGTTGAAGTCTACATAAATAAACACAATAAGACTATGTGTTCAAGTCTATATAAATAAACACAGTAAGACTATGTGTTGAAGTCTACATAAATAAACAGAGTAAGACTATGTGTTCAAGTCTATATAAATAAACACAGTAAGACTATGTGTTGAAGTCTACATAAATAAACACAGTAAGACTATGTGTTCAAGTCTACATAAATTAACACAATAAGACTATATGTTCAAGTCTACATAAATAAACACAATAAAATATATGTTCAAGTCTATATAAATAAACACAGTAAGGAATTTGAATACTTAATAGTATAAGACTATGTGTTCAAGTCTATATAAATAAACACAGTAAGGAATTTGAAGACTAAATAAAGACTATGTGTTCAAGTTTATATCTGTTGAAAATAACGGTGTTTTATCGCTGCATTCTGTTGGTAGATTATTTATTAATGAAGACATTGGTTGAGGCGTTGATATATTTTTAGATGAAGTATTATTTGAAGATGTATTTTTATTATTAAAATATCTACAGCATATAATATCTATCACACATCCACAAAAATCATGGAGCATTCCTGGAAAATACAGAATAATAATAAACATTTACTGTATATTTCCCAATATAATGCGCACCCCTTCAGAAAGAAACTGAAATATTTTACTTAAAAACAATAGGTTTTTTAGTCATTAGCTGGGTTGACTGGAATAATAAGCATCCTTTCTACCAGCTAGTCATTAGCCAAACCTTTTGGCATTGATCTTTCCCGGATTATCGATAACCATCTACAGCAAGGACAACCATCATTTGTGATTGATTAGCATAAATTATGATGCTATTGGTTTAACATTCCACTGAACATGATTTAAAGGAGAAACTTGTCGGATCATGGTAGAAAGTGTAATAACCTGGCAGAAAAAACACAAAACAAAACATCTTGATATGAATTTGATAATTATCATTTCAGTAAATTCAGACTGAAAACTGAAACACAGAATAATAATTATAATACCTGAAACAGCGAACACTCCACCAACAATACCACACATTCTCACTAGAAACTGCCAGAACGGTTGGCGTTCTTCACGAACTTCTATTTTTATTGGATTTAAATCATATTTTACAAATATACCAGGGACACCATGACTACCTTCTCGATGGTTTATTGACCGATTCTATAAAGATTAACAATAAATCATTTAATTAATTATTAATCTTTCTGGATTAAGAGGAGATTAGATAAGATATGGTGTAGGATTATCGATACATGTGAACCATGTCCACACCAGGTATGTTTACTTCTTATTATTATAACTGTCCTGGATTAAGAAGTTAATAGACAGGGTGACGGGGTGTGTGATGTGGTATCATCGTTACAAAATAAAATAGTAGAAGTGAATCATGTATCCCCACCAGCATGTTCATGTCTTATTATAACTGTATCGATTATCATTCTTGCTTCTTGCACCGAACATCCTTCCTCGTTTAGTACCATTAGTTTCCGCAATCAAGAAAATGACATCAAATTCTAAACTGTACTGTATACATTGTCTGTCAATTGCAACAAAATCAAAATGAGGGGGAAAAATAATTTGTCTAGTTTATAATCTAGTTTAAGAATTCTGTATTACGTATCAAATGTTCACTTCGATGTTCGCTCTGAAGGACTGTAAGGACACCCAATTAAAAAGTAAACTGTTTACAGTCAGACATATTTCAATTTATACTGATTGTCCAGAATAAAGTATCACTCGATCCCTTCAACTTTTCAGTAACTCTAACAGGAGGCTGCTAGAGGCACTCCAATCATGGCTATAGTGGGACATGATTTATTTGATACTGATTCTAAACCTACCCTCTACTGATTCTAAACCTACCCTCTCTTGATTCTAAACCTACCCTCTCCTGATTCTAAACCTACCCTCTCTTGATTCTAAACCTACCCTTTCTTGATTCTAAACCTACCCTCTCTTGACTCTAAACCTACCCTCTCCTGATTCTAAACCTACCCTCTCCTGATTCTAAACCTACCCTCTCTTGACTCTAAACCTACCCTCTCCTGATTCTAAACCTACCCTCTCCTGATTCTAAACCTACCCTCTCCTGATTCTAAACCTACCCTCTCTTGATTCTAATCCTACCTTCTCTTGATTCTAAACCTACCTTCTCTTGACTCTAAACCTACCCTCTCCTGATTCTAAACCTACCCTCTCTTGATTCTAATCCTACCCTCTCTTGATTCTAAACCTACCCTCTCTTGATTCTAAACCTACCCTCTCCTGATTCTAAACCTACCCTCTCTTGATTCTAATCCTACCCTCTCTTGATTCTAAACCTACCCTCTCCTGATTCTAAACCTACCCTCTCCTGATTCTAAACCTACCCTCTCCTGATTCTAAACCTACCCTCTCCTGATTCTAAACCTACCCTCTCCTGATTCTAAACCTACCCTCTCCTGATTCTAAACCTACCCTTTCCTGATTCTAAACCTACCCTTTCCTGATTC